CCCCAAAACCCCAAAACCCCATAGCTCATCATTATTGCAATTTTTCAATAAAATATAATTCAAAGTAATTGATGATTTCAAAATTTAAATTTTAATAACATAAAATGAATAGCAAATAGTAAAAGTAAAACAGTCGGGCTAAGAAAATCTAAGTCCTTTATGTAGGTTTTTAGGATGCTAGTCATCCATTTCTAAATGTCAAATACGCTATTGAACTATAATAAACCTAAAGATACAACGTAACCTTTATGATTCACGAAGATAGCAAGCACATACCTATTCTTAAAGAAAATAAAATAAATCTGCTTAAACTTTCTACAACATTCAAGTATCCAAAGTATTAAAACAGACCAGACTCATATGAATCTAAATTTTTAAAATCACTAAAAACAGATCTTTTAATAACAGAACCTTCCCCTTACACATGGACTTTGCTAAATTCATTGATCCCTAATTCTATATATTAATTTCATACCAATTTGAAAGCTGGAGAATGTTCCATCATGGAGAATTCAGTAACTCATTATGGCATAATTCTATAGTCCTCAGAGATTTTTTAGACATCAATGAACCTAGTTATTACAATAGTTTTGCAGGTGAAATTTATAGAAGATTTGTAAATCTTTGGTCTATTTTCAATAAAAATGGCTATGATTAGCGATAATTAGTTCCATCTATTAATCAACTTATCGAAAATCCTAGTCATTTATTTGAAAAACCTCCTATCAAGCAATTAAGATCTCCAGATTTAGTTTTAATTCCTGGAATAATCGGAGGCAGCATTGATTAAATGCCATATTCACCTAGAATAAAAATAATTCATTAAAAGTTTTAGTAAGATGTTTCGCATATACAAATTTCAAAAGAGATGTAGACTTTTATAAATTAATTCCAGCATATTATACTAGTTTCCAAAGGATCTGAGAATGATCCTAGTACTTTGGAACTTTATAATTTGAACTATTTAGCAAAAATAAGGAGAAACTATGGATTTATAGTTAAAATATCAGATTAATCAAAAATAGGTAACAACACTCTGAATGAAATTAGAAGTAGGAAAAATGTCATTATTGAATAGATTGTTAACTAACCATTACTTTTAAAGCACCCAAAAACTAAAATCTTCTATGGGGCAGGTGGAATAAGCAGCATATTAGAATGTATTCAGCACAATAAGATTTTTATAATCAAACCACTCTTAATATCTTTTGATCAATAGATGAATTGCTAGTTTATTCAGAGAAATGGAGTAGGCTAGTGCCTTTGGTAGGATGATAAATAAAGCTTGATTAATGCGATTGTAATTGCAGAATAGTAGAATTTCACAAACCCTAGGCTCAAGCAGCTTTAACAACAATATTAAATGCAAGCTACTGATGAAGAAGATTTCCTTTACTGGACTGATTTCGTTACAACGGTGGGTTTCACACATTTAAAGCAGAAGAGCATCGCTAGAATGACTGATTTCAATAGAATGGGAATTGATATCAGGATTTCTATTTCCATTATGATAATGCTCTTGATGTTCATACTAATTAAAATCTGGAAAAGAATGTTAAACAATTGATTTTATTATTCTTATTAACTTTGATTGTTGAATTTTGAAGAATGGGGTTTTGGGGTTTTGGGGG